AACTCTTTTAAAATTGATAGCAACTTTTTGGAGTAGCTCTACTTATCTTCACTTTCCTGAGAAGAAGACTGAGAAGCAGAGAGGTAAAGAAATTGTATAGGGCTACAGAACTGGTGAAGTGGTGGGATAAAGATTCAACCTCAGACAATTTGGCCCAGAGCCCATATTTTCAGTCAAACCTGGGTAGTAATGAAACATCATCCAACAAAATAAAACCCTCACTGCCCTTGGGTCATTGTGGCATTAGTGAGCCTGTAGAGTGCATCGTTGGCCCACTGAGCAGATAGTGGCTCAAACTGCCTGCCAAACCCTCAGCGGCTCAATTATTTTTTTTTAAAAAAATTATGATTTTAATGAGTTTACAGAAAAGTTGGATGTTCACTTACTCATTGTAGCACGTTTTCCTCTCACCTCCCCTCTTCTTCCCCCTCCTCCAGTCCACTTTGCAAGGTACTTCTTATTCTGGACTCTTGCCATACATAGAATATCTAATCATCCTTTCTTTCACCTGTTTCAATGCTAATTCTAATGTCCATTATCTGTTCCCTTTTTTCCTAGTTTCCTCCCAACCCCCCCATGTCAGTCCTGTTTTACAACATTAGTGTTATATAGTATTTGTCCTTTTGTGACTGAGATATTTTACTCAGCATAATGTCCTACAGGGTCACCGATGTTGTGTAATGTTTTCTGGGTAGAAAAACTAAGGTATAGTCACACAATGAAATACTACACTGAAAAATAAGCACTGAAAAACAAGCAGAGTGACTCTTAAACCACTGTAAGATCTTTGAAACAATAGAGGTACATGCACAAAGAGAGGCAGTGCTCTGATGAGGCAGTTCTTACTCTTAGTCTACACTAAGCTTGTGCTTTAGATTGGTTCTTTCAGCTACAAAGACTGAAGAATTCTCAGGCTGTATCAAATTGTAAGGATATTTACCCATAAATACTGAGAAAAGCAGAACAAGGAGACCTCAAGAAGAAGAAAATGCATGATTGTTATCATCACAGTTGAGTCACCTCCCATCCATGACATGCCCATGTAAAAGAATGAGACATCCCCTGGTTTTATCTTTTCAAGTTCACTGCCGAAGTCACTGTCATTTTTTAGGGTCTTCTCACCTAGGGAGCTAATCTCGCTGCACTATAACTAAGAATATTATGCTGCAACATGTAGGGTTTTCATGGACTAATTTTTGAAATCAAATTATCAGGCCTTTCCTCCCAGCCTATCTTTTACTGGAGGGTCCGCTAAATCGTATCCAATATGTGTGATCTGCTGGTATTTGGAATACTTGTTGTATAGCTTCTAGCATCATAACAACACTACAGCATGCAGCAGATGGGTGACATCATTACCTTATTGTAATTGTTAAATGTATTCAACTCCAACACTTAGCAACCTTGTCTCTGTAGGATAGGTGCTGTGTCTCATGCCATCCTCACAGTCTGTCCGGTGCTTAAACTAATTTTTACAGTCACTCTGTCAATCTATTTCCTTGGGAGGCTTCCTTTTCTTCAGAGGCCTCTGTTTTCCAAGTATTATGTCTTTTTCCAAGAACTGGCTTCTCCTGATACCATGCCCAAAGTATGTGAGACATATTTTCCTTATTGATTGACAGACTTTCACATCACGTCTATATGAAGCAATTGAAAATACTGTGGTTTGGGGTAGGCGTACCTTATCCTTTAGAATGACATCCTTGTTCTGTGTACTTTAAAGAAATCTTTTTTAGAAAAAAAAATTATTTTCTTCATCTTAATTAACATTTACAGAGATTTTGGATTTCCATTCATTCATTGTTGCACTTTTTTCTTTACCCCCTTCCCCCTCTTTACCCCCCTTTGCCTGTCTTTGAAAGGCAAAAGATAAACTTCTTTGACACCTTATTTGTCCAGCGCAACATATCACGTGATTCTTTCACTGATAACTCCTTGGATGTTGATTTTGGGTTCCAAGGAAGATGAAATCATTGCGTTCATCTCACTTTTCTCCATTTGTCATGATATTTTCTATTGGTCAGTAGTAAGGAATTTTGTTTTTTAATATTGAGAAGCAATCCATACTGAAGGCTGTAGTCTTTTTCCCTTAAATGATTCAAGTTTTCTTTACTTTTAGCAAGTAAGTTTGTGTTATCAGCAGAATGCAAGCTGTTGAGTCTTCTTCAAATCTTCATTCTAGTCTTCTTTATATAATCTAGCTGATCTAATTCTTTTCCCTGAATCCAAACTGGAAGAGTGTGGAGGAAGGATACAACCCAATAGCCCACCAGTCTTTATTTTAAACCATAAAATATCTCCACATTGGAATCACTGGTTCTTGGTTAATGTACAGGCTCATCATGAACACAATAAACTCTTCTGGAATAAATTCTTCTCAATCCTACTGAAAACTTAAATGTGATCTATAAGAAAATAGTCAAGTCTACAAAGACTACCTTCGCATAGTCAATGAAACACAAGGAAATGTCTTTTGGATACTGTTTGTTTTCAGACATCTTTCATTTGAGACTAGCAGTGATATTCTCTGTACCACACAGACTCTTCTAAATGCAACTTGGATTTCTGACAAATTCCCTGTCCATGTACTCCTTCAACTACTTTTAAAATAACCTTTAGAATGTTTTTACATACATGTGGTATTAATAATATTGTTCAATAATTTCTACATTCTTTTGGTCCTTTTTTTTTTAATATGGGCACAAATGTGGACTTTTCCTCCCAATCATTTGTTCTGGTTGTTGTCTTCCAAATTTCTTGACAGAGGCAAATAAGCATGTCCAGGGCTGCATCTCTTCATAGAAACACCTCAATTAGTATTTCGTTTCCTTGGCCCTTATTCTGGAGTGTAGACTGGTCTTCTTCCTTCAGAACCATTGTTTTTGTTATGCTACCTCTTGAAATGCTTCACTGTTAACCAATAATTTGTGTTCAATTGCTCTGTATATCCCTTCCATCTCCTTTTGATACTTTCTACCTCATGTAATATTTTGTTGTCTGTAGAATATTTCAGTACTGCAACTCAAGATACGTGTTTTCTTCAGCTTTTTCAGTTTAAGAAATATCAAGTGTATTATTTTCTTTTGGTTTTCTAACTCCAGAGCTTTGCATCATTTCCTTATCATATTTTGTCTTCTCAAAGTACCTTTGGAATTTTCTGCTGAGATTTTTTGTTTAATCGTTTCTTAATTTTCTTTAACTTCTCTATATTCAAGAGTAATTTTCAGAGCTTTTCCTGACATCAATTTTTTATTTTTCTTTCTTTGTTATCTTGTTAATGATCTTTTTGCTTTTTTCGTGTATAAAGTTCTTTTTTATCACAGCATTTTTCAAAATTATTTTAATGAACATTTACAGAGAATTTGGATTTCCATTCATTCATTGCTGCACTTCTCTACCCGCCCAGCCCTCTCCCTCGCCCCCCCAGTTCGCTCCTCTCTTTCAAAAGCAAAAGAAAGACTCCCTCACCGGTACACAATCCCCCCCGCACCCCTTCCACGGCCCCAAGTACACTCCACTATGCAACCTTAATTGTGAACTCTTGGGTTAAATGGTATCTCTATTTGCAACTTTTTGAGAAAGCGCCATACCGCCTTCCACAGTGGTTGCACCATTTTACATTTCCACCAACAGTGAATAAGGGTTCCAGTTTCTCCACAACCTCGCCAGCATTTGTTGCTTGCTGTTCTGTTAAATTTTGCTATGTATAAAGTTCTTAATGGCATCTCACAACTCCTCTGGTCTTTATATTCTTTATATATATCCCATTATCTAAGATATACGTACATAGTCATCATTTATTTAAAAGGTGTATTTGCAACGAATGAATCACTGACATTACTGAACTTCAGAATACATCATGAAATGATCTTTTTTATAATGAAAGCAACACAATTCTTAATTTTTTAAAAATTTCTTGTGTAGTATTCTCACTCATTGCTGTCCAGTCAGAATCTACTCATAGCTGAACTTCCTTTGGGTTTCTGGCGATACAAATTGCAATGGTTTCTCCTCAATTTTTAATTTTTGCCACAAATTAATTTTTAATTTTTACCAGCAAATTAAGCTCCTCCATTAGGTGTAACTTTACTCTACATCATTAAAGTATACTCAGCTTTGAAGAAGCAGCTGTTTCCCTGTTGCATTTTAGAATGTACAAAGTATGAAATTAGGAACATTGGAAGTTGCCATAATGAAATGGATTATGTAAAGATGAACACCTAGGCATTAGCAAACTGAAGTGGACTGGCATTGAACCAGACAATCATATCATCTCCAGTGGTGAGAGGGAAGCTCAGGTGGCATAGTCCACAGGGAATTGGCTAGACCACAGGATGCAACTCTCTGGTAGCTTGAATAAACCAGTGGCCCCTTGGGAAAATGATGGACAATCTCCTCTTGTGCAGTTCACATCTCCCAAAACTCAGTGGAGGTTAGATTTGAATCCTTGACCTTTTTGCTGCCAACTGAGTGCTTGTCCGCTATGCCACCAGATGTCCTTTAGTAATTATTAATTGTAGTATAATTGTCAATAAATATTTGTGAAAATAATAATATCAACAAAGAGATATTAGATATCTACTACTTACCTAGGAGATTTAACATCACAGTAGATTCCTCTGCCCACACAGAATAAAACAGTATATATTTCTTTGCTATCCATATTTTAAAAATAATTTTTATACTATCAGAAAATTCCCTAAACAGCCAATGAAAATTAAAATGCAAGCTATGTATAATTCAAATGAGTTATATTTTCCATTTTTAACTAAAAATCTCATAAACCTTCCTCCCAGTCAATTTTTTTTAGCTGTGTGAAGAAAAGGATGCCTTTACTTGCACTATTCACCAGTAAATGGCATTCATCAAGTTATCTTAGAAGCACTATTTTGCACATCAGCATATCACAAAAACACAGATCTGGGCCTAGGTACACTGATTATACTTAATCATAAGGCTTATTTTTTTTGGTTAGGAGTTTATCTGTTTTTCCTCCTTAGAAAATGATGCGGTCATCAGTTTTCCACATGTTTATCCTGAGCATGGTGACTGTGGATGTGATTGTCGCTGCCAGCAACTATTACAAGGGAGAGAACTTCAGACGACAGTACGACGAGTTCTATCTTGCAGAGGTAAGTAGTTCACTACATTGAGGTAACAGATGGCATCTCAAGGTAATGGTGAACCTTAGACAAAGACTTTTATTCAGGTGAAAAGGAGTTTATATTCTTTAACCACATGACTGAAACCAAAGTGGACTCACTATGTGCTTTTTAAAGTAATTTCTCTGGTCTCTGAGTTGTCCAATTCATTGTCCATCACCAAAGGATTGAGTGATATTGCCTACAATATTATCAAGATCATTCTTGTCCCCTGAATCCAACTCTTGAGGTCTTGTTGCGTTTTCTCTTTATTCCTCTTTTCATTTTCCTGTCTCATGTTACTAAAGCCATTTTCCTACCAAGTGTAAGCAAGTGCAAATTGAGAAGACTGTCAATAAACAGAACAGCTCAACAAAACCAAAGAGAGGGCTAGAGGGAAACTTTTAGCAATAACACAATAATTACTATATTAACTGTGCAGCATGGAGGAGCAAGGATTTTGTAAATTACAACCTAATTTGGGAGGGACTGGAAAGCATTATGCTGAGTGAACTCACTCAGTTCCCTAAGGACAAATACCGTATAAGACTATCATTATAGAATGTGTATGAGGATTCAAGGGGGAAGGAAACAGAGGGGTGACAATGAGCCTGAGTTGGGGGTGGGTGGGGTGGGGATGGGGATGGTGGTTAATCGTAGGGTTACACAATTTGATGGGATGAGGAAGGGGTGGGCGAAGAAGAATGGGAAAGATCTGGTGTGAAAAACAATATAAATAAACTTAGTAAAGAAATCAGCATAAAATAATTTTTTTATTAAAAATAATTACTGTTTTAAGAAGTGAGGTGTTACAACTTAACTAACAGTAACAAGTCAGTAGATAGGCAACTGTCAAGCTTCCTAACCACTAATTATATACAAGAGTATATATTTGGGGAAACTATTTCTTATTGGGTAACTTTGTTAATATTTGCTTCTTAAATATTTTAAATAATTTCCAGACACCAATTTTTTTTAATGGAGAGAAATTTCTTTAATATGTAGTTCAGAATTCACTGGTTATATGTTTATGGAAAAAAATGTGTAGGATTATAACTCTTAGAAAGTCATTTAGGTCAAGTTCACATATCAGCTCTGATATACTTCAAATAATTCAGTATATTGGGGTGGGGGGGAATCTTCATTCCCATTGAGTCAGAACCAACTCATAGCTGATCTTCCAGAGTGTTTTCTAAAACTTTAAGGCATACAGGAAGACATTGCTCATCTTTCTCCCATGGAGCTACTGAAAGATTCCAATTGCCAGAGAAATGCCCCTTTGGTTATCAGTTCAACTTCCTACCAATGAGGCACAAGATTTGAAATTTTATTCTTTTTATCACATGTTGTTATTGTTATGTGCTGTCAAGTTGCCTGCGACTCATAGCGACCCTGTGTACAGCAACCCTAAACTCTGCCCTATCCTTTGCCAATCTCACTATTTCCGACACATCTATCTCCAATACCTCAGTCACTTAATCAATCCATCTCATTGAGGATTTTCCTCTCCTGAGCTGCCCCTCCATCCTCCCGAGTATGATATCCCTCTCCAAGGACTGGTCCCTCCTTGCAACATGTCAAAAGAATGTCAGATGAAACTTCAGAATCCTTGCCTCCAAGGAGCAGCCTGGCCTCACTCTCTCCAGGACAAACCCGTTCATCTTCTTCACAGTCCATGGTATATTCAATACTCTTCTCCTATTAATACCACAGCTTAAAGGCATCAAGAATCATCAACAATCTGTGTTATGGAGATGGAACAACCCTGCTTGCTGAAACTGAGGAGGACCTGAAGCACTTGCTGGGGAATGTCAGGGGCTGCAGTCTTCAGTATATTTTGAGGCTCAATATCAAGAAAACAAAGATTCTCACCACTGGGCTGATTGGCAGCATCATAATGGATAGTGAAATGATTGAGATTGTTCACAATTTTGGTTTGCTGTTTGCTTGGCTCCACAGTCAACACTCTTGGCACCAGCAACCAGAAAATTAAAAGACATTTTGCAATTGGAAAGTCTATGGTTAGAGACCTCTCTAAAGTACTAAAATGCAACTATGCCAGTCTGAAGACCAAGGTGAGCCTGATACATGCCATGGTCTTTGAAATCACTTGCTATGCATTTTATCACATAGAGTATATATTTTTAAAAAATAAATCCATGTGCCTATAAGTCATTGTTATGTACCATCAAGTTGCCTGCAACTCATAGTAACTGTATGTACAATAGCTCTGAACCTTGCCTTATCCTGAGCCAATCTGACTCTGATTTACCTAATTTCATTGCCCCAGTTACTGTGTTATCTCATCTGGGACCTTTCTCTCCTGCATACTTAGAATTATCCTTGTGCATTAAAAACCAAAATGAATTCAATCTACTTCTGAAAAAGAACTAATCACATGTACTTATTCATACTTTGGACATGTAAGGCTATTCCTTGGAAAGGGACAACATGCTTGGAAAGTAGGAGGTTCATTGAAGGAAAGGAAGACACCCAATGACATGGATTGACACGATGACCTCAACAATGGTCTCTAGTGTATCATAGATGAAAAGGATGGCACAGGATAGAACAAGGTTCAGGTCAACTATTCATAGGGTCACTATGAGTAGTACTTGACTCCACAGCACCTAACAACAACAATAGTATATAAATATGAGGACGGTGCACAGTAAGGAGCTGCACTGTAATCCTAAAGACATGTGGTTCGAATCCACCAGCTGCTCTGCAGGAGAAAGATGGACAATCTCCTCCCAGGTAATTTATCGCTTTGGAATACTTCCTGGAAGGTCAACTGAAAGTCAGTTCTGACCATATGTCACACAAAAACAACAGCATAGTGTATAAGTGTTGATATAAGGAAACTCTTAAAGAGTCATTTACAATTTCTTCTCTTCATGCATAGTTACTTTCTGAATTAAAGCAATGCTAAATCTTCTCTTGAGTAATCTTTGTGATGTGATGACGCTTAATTACTACCTGATATATGAAGCTTAAAATCCTAGTGATGTAGTGGGTGATACGTTGGACAGCTAACCAAAAGCCTGGCAGTTCAAACTCACCAGCTATTACGTGGGAGAAATATGAAGTGGTTTACTTAAATTATGATCGACAACCTTGGGAGCCAAATGATGTTACCATGAGTTAGAATGGATGTGAGGGTATCAGAACTAGTTTTAATTACCTGGATCTTAGAGTCTCTAGTTAACACAAACAGTTGAGCATCAAGGTACTAATTTAAACATTGGAAGTGTGACTCCAACCACAAGTTGAGAAGAACTATTTGATGATCTACTTCTGAAAATTAGCATAAAAATCCTACGAACACAGTTCTGCTCTGATTCAGAATTGACTTAACTGGCAAGATATAACTTAAAATCTAACGAGAAATGTAGATAGTAAAAGATAGCAAGGTTTGCATGCCTAATGTGCCATTAAAGAAAACTAATGACAAGGCTTATAAAAAAGCAATTTTTTTGTTCTACATCAAAATCTTGAATTCTAAGAAGGGGTCGTGGTACTAGAGATATTGTAGAGATATTGTAGCTGATGTTAGATGGATCTTGGCTGAAAGCAGGGAATACCAGAGGAATGTCTATCTGTGTTTCATTGACTATGCAAAGGCATTTGA